TCTGTAATACCGAATGCAATCTGGACCAATCAGAAGAGTTGAGATTTTTATTGTGTAAGGGTACTGGATATCTCAACGCGCCTTCGCCAGCCACCTGGCCCTCATTCGCAATCACAGGAGCTCCCTCAAAATGGTTTCGATGCCTCTGAATTATGTTCTGTAGCTTGGGAAACAATTGTCTTTCCTCCCACTGCCCATTTGTGTTGAGCGCTAAGCCACATCTGATCATGGCTTTCCGTGCGTAGGTTAGACCCTCGCTGTCGCGTTGTGCGTTAACATCCCGAACAACAGCTGTGGCAAGCTCCAGAAAGTAGTGCTTGCCTGGATTAGGCAACTTGCCAGAAGAAGCCTTAAAGTCACCCGCCATTATGCGCTCCATTTTGTGCTGGTCCCAGCGACAACGCCAAGCATCTTTTAGCTTTTGTATCACAAAGGAATCGGCGGGCTGCAGTAGGTCCGTACAGTTCGGCGGGAAAAACCTCACCTCTGTGTTTATTTCGTTCAACGCTTCCAACATTGCCGCAATCTCACCATGCCCACTGCAGTTGTCCATATACAAAACACGACGCCGGCCGTGCCGAAGCGCCTTAATTACTTTCCGTTCCCTCAGCCACTGCGGTATTACTTCGCGATCCATCCAACCCTTCGGCCCCGAGCGATACGAAACTCCTGCTACATCGTCAGGAACCCGTTGAATTGGGTAGATTATCTTCTTGTTCTGAAAAACCATCATTGATGCTTCGATTCTGGCATCCCTTCCACCAGATATACGTACAATCATTTTCATCCCTTCCTCTCCAGACACTACGTCTGAATACTTTACCTCACCGCAAATTCCCAACGTTCGATGGTTGTGCATGTTGATGACAAAGGGCGTTTCGTCAGCATTTGACACATCGTCCTCATCTAAACGTCCTGAACGAAACTCTCGAGCCACAAAGCCAAGATGATACGCTACTTCCTTCTCGATAAAAGCTTGCTTCTCCTGGAGAAATCATCAATTTGCCTGTTTGAGCGCGACTAACAATTTCGTTCCGCTCCATAAATGCCTGGGTCCAACGCGGTGTGATCATATACTGAATAAATTTTTTTGACAACGTATCAAAACATTTTAGAAAATATTCATCCCTCGTAGAACTTTTTGTGAGCTGTCTCGCAAGATCCCCGAGCAGCTTGGCATTGAACTTGAGTCCGGTTTTTCGAAGCCTGTCAAACTCTTCGAGGAGGTCGGCTTGCAGCGCCATTACCCAAGCAGACCTCTTCCGACCGCGGCCAGGCTTGGCCTTTAGATACCCTTTTGAAGCCACAGCTTATAACCCTGGTAATTGAGTGCGGCACGCAAGTCTTCTCGTCTGCTTCAAGGTACTCGAGGCGTGCTTTCCATAAGCGACTTGCCTTAGAATTGTTCGCCTTTTCGTTGCCACGGAACAGATGGGGAAACTGGCGGACAGCTTTTGAGGCAATGTGATTAGAACCTGCCCTGGAGACCTCCTCAGACATCCACTTGACAATCCTAACGCGATCTGATCGCGTAAGCACACGTTGGACCGCTCTTGTGCGGACCGCTAAGGGCGCGGCTGTGTTGGGCGGCGGTGCCGGAAGGCCGCAGTTGGGTTAGAGTGTGGCAGATGTGGGCGGATCCGCAGAGGAATGATGGGCATCTACAGTAGCTTCTTGTGTTGAAGCTGCGTCTCTTTCGTTCCGCAGGCGTTAGGCATTTTGGAGGGAAGCAATAATAGGAGATGCTGATACCGTCATGACACGAAAGCTGGATCTTTCGGACGGCGGGGTGCAGCTTTGATGTAAGAATGGAAAAGGTAAGCCTTTATATGTGCATAACCGAAACACCACAATGGCGTTTTGTTCCAGATTTGGGTTAGTATCTGTCAAAAATGGCGCGCAGGACAGCGAATTGGCTGCCTTCTGAGACTGCACTATTAGATGTACGGTTTGCAATTAGTGCGGACCGCAGTAATTGCGCCATCGGCGATAGGCGAGAAACATAATTTACTGCGGTCTGCACTAATTTCGAACCCGCACTATATTTTCACCTGCACTATTTGCAGTATTCGGGTGTAGCGGTCAAAGTTGTACATGACATCTTATTTTCAGGAACCAACGAAGACTTGAAGCGCTTGGATAATCAGATATATCAGAAATATAAGGTTGGAAGAATTGTCTCTGGACCTGGTACCTTCATGCTTTATGGAATCACAATCACGCAGGAAGAAGGCACTGTTAGAATTTCTGGTGATGAGAAATTGATGTAATTGGAACCGTATTCGATGTCCCCCCGCCGCTAAGAACTGGAAGAGTCACTAAATGCGGTCGAAATGTTTACGTATGGATCCCTTATCGGTTCTCTTCGATTTATTGGAAGCTCTTCAAGCACTTTTTGCGCCTTTGCTATCAGCTATTTGCAACAGCCCCGGCCTGATCCTCTTGTGAAGACTGTAATATGTCAAAACAATATGCTTCGCAAACTCAAGAAGCTAGGCACCACGATGACGACGTCTCGTCTTCATGGCCAAGGTGAGCTACCGCTAAGTATGTTAGCTGTCTCAGATGGAGGGAGGTTCAAGGACAGAGACGGCAGCCAGATTGGTTTTATAGCCGGTCTTTTCATCGGCAAAATTGATATTAAGTCGACGTTCCACACCTTACGCTGGTCTTCTCACAAATCTTGTCGCCCCATCAAATCTATTGACGCCGCTGAAACTCTTGCAGCTGGTTCCGGCATTGACGAAGGCAAGGTGTTGGATCAAGCGTACCAAGAGCTTTTGAATATCCAGATTGATCTCGTCATGGCTGTGGACTCCAAAGATTTGTACGACTCCCTCTCTACATTCTGCAACGCTACTGACAGATCCATTCATTCCGATGTGAACCTCACTCGGTATGAGTTTGAAACTAAGAAGATCGCTAGTATGATCCGGATTCCTGGACGTCTCAATACTGCTGACCCACTTACAAAACCCGACAGCCCTCTTTGCGATTCCTTACAGTTGGTGATGTTCTCTGGCAAGCTCCCCTTTGACTTTGCAGAATCTCAACATCGCTACAGGGAGCAATGCCTTGGCGAAGGGGGGTTTCAGAAGAAAGTGAACGTAAAACGTGACGTCGCAGCTTTACAAAATTGGTCCGGTGGGCCAAATCTTATGTCTGATCATACGTGCGCAGTGTGCTGGTCTCAGTTGATCATTGACGCACCTTGACGCACGCAGATTCTCAGCTACTGTGACTCTGGAGCACAGTTCGCTCCTACATATAACAGGCTTCTCTTACGTAGAATATAAATAGGCCAGATGCCAAGCTCCTGACATCACTGGACAGGCGATCTAAAACAAACCAAGACCTCATTGCCCCGAACCGTCTCTCCCACCCCTGATCCACCCGAACTAAAAACCCGAACCACAATCCCCCGTTTTGCTACTGTATTGTATCCTTCTCAGTTAGTGCGTTTGCAGTGCCAGGGAATAAAAACGCAGAGTTGAGTGCCGCTGTATGGTGCTCAAGAGTGTACAACACTGCCCTCACAATAAATCCATCTATAGCGGATTTCGAGGAGGACAAAGACACAGCAGGACGTATGTCCTGCTTCCCTTCAATGATAATATACTGGCAACGTCTGCAACAGTACTTACTTACCCATTGCGTCCGTAGGGTGCAATGAAACATAAGAATATGTGGACACTTGCTCCTCCAAGTCCTGAAATGTTTCCTTCTCCGAAGGACCGCGAACGTCAATCACAAAAATGCGCCACAATCAGTCAGTTGCAATAGATAAGGTTCTAGTACACCTGTTTCCCTCAAACGTGCAGGTAGAGTTACTCGAGCCACACCTTTTCTCCTGCATTTGAAGGGCTTGCATGCGTGCCTAACGGCTGCGGTTCAGGTGTTTGTAGCAAAAGGAAGACCTTTCCGGTTCTCGGAGAACCCCACAAACAATTAGTGGCCTAGGCTACATTCTTAAAGGCAACAAAACTCACTGACAAAGGCCGCTTCAACGTCTCTGCTCCGCCTGTGCAACACGTTGTAAAATGTGCAATCCCTCGTCCCGTTGCGCAAGGATAACTCGACGGATGGTATTGAAAGTGCTGCTCCAAGGTCACAGAAGACAAAGCAGTGTCGTAAAATATTGCTCTGTGATGTACTGTTTGAAGGTTGTCGCGTTTTCCAGTAGTTGGGAGATTTTTGCGAAAGGATTCTACCAACTGTTCGTGGATTTGCTATCACGTGCCATCATAACTGTTTGCCACGGCAACAAGTGCCTATGAATAAGACATGACTAGAACGATCAGGAAGGGACTTGAAAGGGTTGGGAATCCCTCGTATGTCCACAGAAGCTCGAGCGAGCACTTGAGATTTGTTAAGCCTCACTTTGAAACTCGGTTGTCGAGGGTTGCTGGATAGGCAAGCAAAACATCTCACTTCGTAACTAGACCCGGTTATGAACGGATCCGAATTGTGATGAAGGTGGGATGTCACAAAGTGTACCGACGACAGCGGCATTGAGTGGATGCAATAAAAGTATTTTGAGGAGGGCTGGGACCGCCTGGCATTGTTAAAATTTATCATAACTCTGGTTTTGCGGATAAAATTTCCGCAGGTCACCGACTGACTAGGTGGTCTCCCTAGTACTGTACTTGGGTACTGTAGGTGCTGCAGTTATCGCGAGCTGACTGTATCTTGATGTTGTTCTATTTTTAGATATTTGCGCATCTCTATCATGAGACACACAGTACCAAGGGTACAGTACTACCTCGTTTCACGATTACTGTGGTCCAATCATCATTTGAACAGGAGCAGGTCTGAATAACGAGACCGTGAGCCGGATCGAGAGCAAACACAACCTCGAGTTTCATTCTCACTGCGTACCGCGATTGCTAATGGGAAATGTACCGCAGTGTTTGCTGGGGCTAGGGGCATTGCTCGTTCCAAGGCGCCACCCGGTTTGATGCCGTGCTCTGGACCATACGAGCTACCAAGGCGCAGAGAGGTGGGTTTCAACGGGGGTTCGTCATGACAAACACCTTTTTATGTTTAATTGAGAGAAGTGTGTCGCAGAATGACAATAAAGAATCAATCTACACAGAGCGCCCTCTCAAGGTCTCTTCCAGACGTTTTACATGCCCCTAAACGCTGACTGGGACGATACCCGGATCCGCTGAGTTCAAGAAGGCCAAGAAGACACAGTCCTTTTTGCTGATGCAAGTAGTCTCATGGACCAGCCCCTGCGGAAACACGGTGCTTTCGCCCTTTCTGAGGGCATTAGTAACACGCCTGGCATCGCCCAAGCCCTCAAATGTGAAAGCGACACTAGCCTTGCCCCTGAGCAGGGTGACTGTCTCGGACGCCCTGGGGTGGAAATGTGTGAACAAGTCCCTCCCGGCCTTGACGGAGACTCTGATGACGGTCATCTGGACGTCCTGGGCGGCGAGCGCAGGGAAGTTGGCCAGGTCGGCAATGGTGGCGGTGTAGTTTGCGGTTTCGATTCGCGTGCCGCGCGAGAAGTTGATGCGGAAGTCGCTGTCGCGCAGCCCGGCGCGGACGCCGGGCGCGGTTTCGAGGCCCAGCGAGGGGATGGAGAAGGAGGCCGCGGAGAGGTGGGCCAGGGCGAAGAGGGTGCACATGGCGAGGGCTGTGAAGAATGACATTTTTCGTGGTGGAGGTGTGTGCGTGGGTGCGTGTGGCTTAGAATGCGAGGCTGGTGTGGCTGTGGGGGGAAGAGTTGGAGTGTGTGCCTATGCGGGCGGGCTTTTATAGACGGATGAGGTGCTAGAAGGAGGGGCGAGGTGCTAGATATACATACGAGACACACGAGGGTGCAGATTCATACGAGACGCAGGAGGGTGCAGATCCACGTGGGCTTTACTAGGGGTGGAGATGGGGACTGAGTGCGGGTTATGAATAGGAGACAAATGGAAGAGGGCGACAGACGTTGAAGGCAACAGTAACGATGCTGAGCAGGACCGGGATGCGGCAACAAGAACAGTTACAATTAGATGCAGCTCGTGCGCTCTTCTACGGCACATATGTCGTTGGGGGCAGGGAAGTGTCTTATAGGGTTTTCACAGCCCTTAAGAAAGGTGACCCGGATGTGTCCTGAGTGCGTTAGAAGTGCATCCAACCGTTTGTTTCCAGGTTCACTGTAATCAAGTCATTTCTCTATAAGTCCAGTATCCACTGTGCATGTATGGACAGTTCTAGCTACAATCCGTTAAATATATAAAGAAGCACTGGACGCCGGACGCCGAACGCCGGAAGCCGATACTCAATTTAAAAAATCATAAGTATCTTCTTCGTTCCGCGCAAAAGCAGTCTACCGGAGGATTACTGAAGGATACTTTACAAACTTCAAAGCTGAGAGCTGAGACGCAGACCGGACGTCGTCCTCGACAACGACGACCAAGGATGATAAGCTATTTGCGGTCATGTACAATACTAGGAGAAACTGCATCTTGCGATTGGCACGGCACAGACACGAGACACGTGTACTGTTGTTTCGACGCCCCATCTTTCCGCCATATCAACGCGCCAGATCAGGACAACTGACCTTCATTCTTCTCTAATAACTGATTCAATAAATGCCTCGCGATCCACTCGCCCCTCACGAGACACGCGAGTCTGTTTCGTGCATCTCACATGCACGCTCGCGAGGCGCTGGTTTCTCCCGTGCCTGTCCTTTCTCCCGGAATGCACGCACGCCCTGAACCAGCAAGCCGGGAAGCGCGCCCGTCATACAATCAATCCAGATCACCGCCTTTTATACACATCAAATACTAAAGCGCGTTTGCTATATTCTACAAACCGCCCCCACCTCCTCCTTGGCGCACAGCCACCTGCTTCCCTTCCTCCCCTCCGCGCAGTACAAGCAGCAAGCCTCTCCGCACGCCTCCGGTTGCATCTCCGCGGCGTAGTTCTGCACGCACCTCCCGCCCGTCAGCCCCGCTAGCTTGCGCCAACACCTCTCCCCCGCCACCAAGCACCGGCACGCCCGCTTTCCGACTACCATCATCTCGTCCAGTGAGCTTCCCATCTCCCCTTCCCCCGAGGTTCCGTCCCTGTCCACCGTCACCTCACCTGTCGCCATTGGTGCCATATACTCCGCCTCAGCGGTTCCCATCGGCGTCACGCTCTCTGTTGCTGGCGTCGGCATTGGCGCCATGCTCTCTGCCGCGGGCGTCGGCATTGGCGCCATGCTCTCTGCCGGGGGCGTCGGCGTAAGTGTCATGTTCTCCGACGCAGATGCATCCATCGGCGTCACGGTCTCTGCCGGAGGCGTGGCGTCTCTACCAGCGGGAGACACCCCACCAAACTGCTCCGGCGTCAGGTCTTCCGGCACGTTTCCATCCTTGAAAGGCCGCGGGGCTTGGTATTCCGAATCCACCCTGCACGGCTCGTACGAGCACACACCTGGTGCGTCGTTGGCCGACATGCACCCGACGTCCGAATATCCACTCATATCATTGTTAAACACCGGCGTGTGTCGCGATTCCAGCGCGGACCCGCCGCTGATCTCGACATACGAGCACGACCAGTAGTCGCCAAAATACCCATAGGGCGTAGGCTCCTGCTGGACGTTGCCCTCGGCTGAGCCGCCGCCGCCGCCATACCACACCCACCCTAGCACGTACTTGCCGTCCGGCACCACGCTCGGGATCTTCACGTCCATCACGTAGTAGCCCTTCGGGTGCGAGTGCTGCTCTCCATCACTTCCGACGAAGCTGAAGCCGAATTGATCAGCCTCCATCTCGTTCGCGGCCGCGGCCTGCGGGTTGGCGCCCCAGCACGTGTAATAGAAGGCGTTTTTGGCGTGTGCGTTCTTGTCCATCATTTTCTCCGGTGCGACGAGCGTGAGACGGATGAACCCACCGGGCCCGTGGTTATTGCGCGTATACTTCATCCGCACTGTCTGCCCGCGTTGGTAGACAGCGGCAGGATTGTCGGGCGAATCAAAGTTGGAATATCCACCCTCAATGGCGCGCATGTCGCATGGTCCGGCGCATGTTTCCACGCCAAATTGCGGCTCACCGCCGAGACGGCATGTCTGAGGAAGAAAGAAGCAGGAAGAGGGAGGGGTTAGAGATGTGTTCGAAGGGAGATGGAGCTGGGGCACATGGAGTCATGGAACGGAAGGCTTGGACTTACCGACGGGGAAATGTTCTGCGGGTCGCTGAGCAACGAATGGGCGAGGACGGCTGGGAGGAGCAGTAGGAGGAAGACGACGAGAGACATCATGGTGCTTGCCGGGGAAATCTTGGAACTGGTATACGGCTCGTAAGGTGGGGAGTGCAGACTGGGGTTGTTTTATATTGTTTACCAGCTCCCTCAGCCGGTAGGAGAGACGGTCGAGTTGACTGGGTGGATACTGGTACGTAACAGCGCCGGGAGAGGATGACGAAATGTGGCATGATGTGAACGAGGGCTACTCGTGTTCCGTGATCTCCAAGTATAGCCTGGGAATTCTCTCCGGCCACGATCACTCCCTCTTTGAGTCTAAGCTAGTGCAGTACTTGTACAGAATAGTGCTGTAACCTTGCTCTCATGGGCCGTACCGCGACGAGGGCGTCGCACAGACGTCAATTATACAGTAGATAAAACAGGTGCAGAAGGGCGCATAGGCGCGCGTACATCTCGCGGGGTACGTGGAGCTAGATTGTTGCGATGAAATGATATGGGCTAACTACAGCCCGAAATTGGCTGCACGTGTACTGTACGTGGCAGGGCGCAGAAGAGTTGACGTGGAACCGTGCGCGTCGTGAGCTGAGGAGGTGTGCGGGGCGCGTCACGTGCCACATGCTCGCGAGAGTGTCGTGGCGCGTCTGGAGAGAGAGGTTGCATGCATGGTGGGCGGCTTTCTCGTTGGATGCGTGCAGATACGTTCGGCTCACGTTCGGCTCATGTTGCGGCTCCCTCGTTGGCTGCATTGTTTTCGGAACGTGCTCCACTGGCAGAAGACCTACGCGTTTTTTTCCGCATGGTAACTTTACGTGCGGTGATGGGGGTGTGCCAAGTGACTGCCATCTTGCGGGATGTTCCCCACGCAGAGACTCGTTCGCGGAGGAGATACCGTAGAGGAAGGCGTTAAACGAAGGTAAGAGACAGGATACGGGTATCTGATTGGCCCGCAATGGATGAACTGCGAGAGCGCGCCTCCTCTCGCACTCCAAAGAAGTGCTGGGGCAGTGTTCTATGCACGGCAGGTCGCGAAGGCGAGAGGGGGTAACATACTCCAGGGGAGACTTTGCCTGGCACATTACTACGACGCTGAACAGGACATGTTTCGTTCGCCTCAGACGGAGCCCTTTGTAGCGCCTGCGCTCGCAAGGCGAGCTAAGGATCGAGATGTCTACGGCAGGATGCCCCGGGGCGTGGCAGGATAGATCCCGTAGTGGCGAGCCTGCCGCAGAGGTGAGTGCACAGCCACCTCTGAGACTGCGATACAGGGTGCATACAAGTTGGTACCCCCCAAAGTTGAACGGAATAAAAAAATAAATGAGAAAACATCTTCTGCTTTACTTCTGGTCTCCATTGTAGTCTCATTTCAACCACAATCCTACCCAGTACACACTACTTGAGCCAATAGGCGTGCAGAAGATTCAACATGGCTGTCATATTTGAAAAGATATACCTGTTTGAAACCCCCATTTATGCAAAATTGCACCTGAGAATTGAACAGCCAAATGGTTGGCCAGTGCAAACAAAATGCAAAAATGTTTACTCAAGAATGTCTTTCCTGACACTGCACGCGCTGATCCGTCAACTCCATTTCGTTAACTGTCTTGTGCTGCGTTCCGTGCAGCAAATTCCCGTTTCGCAGCAATGAGTCTCCGCGCCGACTGCCGTCTCAATGGCATGCGACGAACAGAAACGTTCGGGACGCCGTACACAAGCGCTCGGGCATGCAGCGAACGCTTCTCGAATTCTAATCGAGCAATGTTTGTGCGTTCGTATGCTATTGCGTCCTTTTCGGCTTTTTCTGCCTCCTTCCGACTCCTTTCCGCCCGCTTCGCAGTATCAAAACCATCTCGCTCCCTCGCCTTTCTTAGCTATTGTAGCAGCTTTCCTGCGACTGGCGCCGTGCCTGTCGACCGCAGCGACGGCCTTTTCAAAGCGTCGGTCTGCCTTTGATACTGTTCGCAACCTTCCCATTCCTGCCAGTGTGTGGTTTTGGAGATGAGCTGGTGGCTCGAGTTTGCATTTATTTGCAATGCGCGGCGTCATGTAGGTTTTTATTGCATCGCCAAATCCGAATATGGCGACAAAAGGGTCCTGTTTGTATTTCGCGCGAAGCTACGCCGAGTTAAACATTTCAGGATTGCCATAAATCTGATCGTTTTTGGCATTATGTTAAATCTTGGAAATAAAATTCACTTTTAGTTTTGTTCAACAACAGAGTACAGTGTTCAACTTTGGGGGGTACCAACTTGTAGCCTTTGCACGAGCTAACGTCAATGCGCACCCGTACCCCCTCTGAGTACTGTAAGTACGCCATGGACCTACCAGCGAGCGAAAAGCGCCACTGCAGCACAGCAGTGCTCCGGGTCTACCTAATCAGGAGGCGTGTAGGGTGCAGCACAGCTGAGCACAGCTGTCGTCGCCTGACAAGGACGACACCGGGCGGAGAGTGCGGGTTGCCGCACCAGTTCGGGTTTGATAAATAAAGGCAGCACGCTGCGTTGGAATCTGGCGACCCCGGGGAGACGCACGCGTTGACTTCGCCAATTCTCTTGCTTCTGCCTCTACACTTCGTCCCCTTACGCTGACCGCTACGAGCTATCGGTTCGACTGAGAAGCGATTACCTCTGCTTCCTGCGATTTGTCACACCTTGTGCCGTATATCTCAAGGCAGGGAATATCGCCGGGAGACGTCGCCTCCCTTAATCCGCCAACATTCCTCTCCAATGCACTCACCAAACCACTTACGTAGACGGAACAAACCCATTTTACAAGCTACAGCACTACAAAAGGCAACATGTGATAGACGCATCGCCAGGGCAAAGTCCAAGTTCCACAGTCCCCGAACCGCACGATTTCGTGCACGTCCCCGTGCGCCCAGTTTCTCCCGAGAAGCAAGCGCCGAAGTTTGGCACGCAGCACTGGATATCTGCCGGTCCAGGGCACAGCCCTGCCTCGGAGAACGAGCCCATCGCGGCGCACTCGCCTGTCGGCACGCACGTTCCGACGACACCGAAGGCCATGCAGGACGCGGGCATCATCGTCGTCGCCGGTGACGCTGTCGTAGGGGGGGTCGTCGCCATCGTCGTTGACGGTGGGTCCGTGGCCAACGTCGTGGCGGCCGTGATTGCTGCCGTTGTCGGGGCTGCTGTCGTAGCGGTCGTTGCCGGGGCTGCTGCCGTCGCGGTCGTCGCCGCGGTGCTTGTCGTAGCTGCAACCGTAGTAGCCGCCGTCGTCATCGGCGACACTGTTGGCGGCGCTAGAGTAGTTACCGCCACCGTCGGCGGCGCCGCAGTCGTGGCTGCCACCGTCGGAGGCGCCACCGTCGTTCCTGCTACCGTCGGAGGCGCCACCGTCGTTCCTGCTACCGTCGGAGGCGCCACCGTCGTTCCTGCTACCGTCGGAGGCGCCACCGTCGTTCCTGCTACCGTCGGAGGCGCCACCGTCGTTCCTGCTTCCGTCGGACAGGTCGTCTCGAATGCGCACACGGTGCCAAGATTTTCGTCGAGGAAAAGGTCGTCGATGACGATGGTCTTGCTCCCGAAGACGGGAACTTTGCCCTCCACGGTGAAGTCTTTGCCCACCAAGTCGAGAGTGCCCTCCACAAAATGACAAGCATCACAGGTGCCAAGAGTTAACCCCCCGGACGTCGGTGGGAAGGCAGGGTCTTGATAGTTGGCGTCCAACTGCAGGCCGACAGTTGCGCACACCTCTGCGGATGCGTCGCCGATGATTGGAAGAGACAGGTCGGCCGTGATGGCAGGCCGAAGGCCGACGAATCCCTCCACGCTCAGATCCAAGTCGACGGTCGGTCCGGTAAACACCAGATCACCAGTGCCGCCTTCGCCTGAAGAGGCCAAGGACTCGGTGTCAAACCCGGTGAGACTGACCTCAACTTTCTGACCAGTTTCATAAGTCCCAGAAAAGGAAGCCACCGCTGAAGCCGAAGCCATGAGAGAGAGGTCGTAATCCACGCTGGCGAACAATCCAAAGCGGATCGTTCCGACAAGGAAGATTTTCTTCTCAAAACCAGCCCCTGGAATGGGAACATTGAGAAGCTCACCAGATTGATTGTTTGAGAACGATGCCGCCGCTGAGACAGACCCTGACGCCTCCACCCTCACCCTTAGTTCCCATGTCGCCTTGGGTGGGAAGCGATCGAAGTCGAATTCACACACGCCAGCTGTCGCCTTGATTCCCCAGGTAAGGTCCACGCCCGGCACGACCTCGATGCTTCCGTCTTCATCAAAGGCCGTGATACCAATGTCGTTAACCCTTGCCACCGTCTTCATCTCTAGAATACTCTTCCCGGACTCCATGATGCGGGACGCTGGGTTGACCAGCTCCCCAACGTGCACGGCCACGTGCGGCGCGACATCGGCACCGGAAACGTACCTCGTTTTCACGTGCACGCCGCCCTTAAAAATCGTGACCATCACGATCTTGCGGAAGACTACCTCGTCCAGAACGTTGAGCTCGTCCTTCACAGGTGGTTCAGGGCAGCCCAGGGCAGCGTGGTCGTCTTTAGGGAAAGTGAGCACGTTGCCTTCTTGAAAGTCTTCCGCATCAACAGGGCCAACGAACTTGATTCGGTGCAATGTACAGACGTCGACGGTCACTCCATCAGCGGTAAGTTCCTCCCACGGGACAACGGGCATGAGAAGGTCGGCTTCGGTCGAAATCTCGCGAACTCCTTGAGCGTTTTCGACGCGGTCGTTCACGGTCACTCTTCCAGACATCACATGCTTCTTGCCTTCGACGGAAGCCGCAAGGAGCGCGAATAGCGCAAAGAGGATGTATTGATTCATGATTGCAATTGGAAATGCTAGTAACTTAGGCTGCCTTAGGTGGAGAATGTAACCAGCTCTTCATGCGGCGAGCGTTTATGTAGTGCCTTTCTTGTTGATTGCTTCAGAGGCAGGAATGCTCTCAGATCATGAGAAGCCCTCACAGTTCAGCAGGCAGTTCTGAGTAGCTATACGGAAGCACTGTCTGCTGGAACAAGTCAAGATCGCCATGCATCAATGCATATACATAATCAAGCTGCATTGTACACGCTGTGGTACAATATGCACAGCACTGCGCTGTATCACCGAAGAGGAGGGTCGTTGGAAGAGCTATACTGTACATAAAGACCCCCAGCTGAACTGGAACTGGAACTGCCGCTGGGTTGCTCTCGTCTGCATTCCAGGCTCCCACTCTGCCCAGTGGGCAGAGTGGGAGCCTGCGGGCAGTGCCCACTGGTCAAGTCATCCGGGTTCATTCCACTGAATACTGTACGTAGATGCTGCTCGGAGAGAAGGCATGTCAAACAGCTATGCGGCAACGAGGAGACTCGGTTAATTTTTTCTGATTCGCTTTTAGTTTTTGTGTTTCCACTCCGTTATTGATAGCTTATGAACAGGATCATTGTGGCACTTGAAGTCGCCACGTTGATGCGTCGGTTTGAATGACTCATGAACACCCAGGATAGGGTTTATCTGCTGTTCCATTCACAAGAGAGGTTAATAGTCAGGTTTTTTTCACTTGTTCAGTTTCTATTGTATTCTCTATATTATTGTGTAAACCTTGCATTTCGGCAAGACACCCCTTTTTTTACAACAGAACGCGAAAGAGCTGCGACTAGATACGTACCCGAGACGCTCCATTCCGCATTCTATTTGTGTACAGTTCGGAGAACATATTCCAGTAGCGTTCACGAAGAGGTTTCCAATGAAACAAGTTGGTGCGCGATACAGAGTAATACGGTACAGAAAGCCGAGCATCGTTGTAAACACGAGGAAGCGTGGATACAACTCGGATTAAGCTGCTCCGTCGTTCGAAAAAACGAGTTAGAATGTCCATACTGTACACTTGTAAACGCAATCTCACATGTCTGTGCTGTACAGTACTGTACAGCCAACGAATTTAAATACAGTATTGACACAGAACATCGTCAAGGAGACTCGCTTTCTCGAGCATCTTCGCTAACATTTGCATCGGCGACAAAGCCGGTGCGACGTAACATGTTACAGTACATCTCTGCTAGCCTTTATTGTTATCTGGTCATAACACGGAGAATTTGCCCCTCCTCCCTCGT